ATTACGCAAAAGGACTGTTATTGATTCGCAGGATTTTTTTAATATGGAGGTTTTTTTTACCTTTTTGTCTGCTATCTATCGCATACATTCAGCATTGCATGAGGAGGTGTGTCTGCCCGCGCTTTGGACACGCGCCTTTCCAGTGCCACCTGTGTGGATACAATTGACTTGCACGACTTTTTTTCAAACGTTTGGACTTCTAAATTAGTCCACGTGGAATTTAAGACATTAATAATTTTAAAAGCACTACATGTTAAATCAGGACATGCTTTGTTTTGGTCTGTTGTGACCTTCATAAGTAGCCTGACTCCTACACGCCCCCCCCCCCCCCCGCCTGTCTGCCCCGGCCGTGAACCTCGCGCAGCCTCACGCGCGGCCAACAGCAGGCAGCAGTAAATCTAAAAGTTCAGGCAGATGTTGAAGTCGATTTCCTCTCACTGCTGTTGTATATCACACACTGCATTTCTTGTTTATCTAAAGACTCCTTCCCTCTGTTGATGCATATTTTAGGCAAACATGCCGGTAAAAAGGGAGAGGATGAGGCAATGGCTGGAGAACCAGATCGAGTTATGTACTGTCTCGGGTCTCAACTGGGTGGACAAGGTGAGAAGTGAATTTTCTTCTGAAACAAATGCGATTGGTTCATGTCAATGTAATTTACTGAAAGCGTATTCAGCATATTGAGAGGAGTAGAAACAGACATTCTGAATGCAGCAGGGAAGTGATGTGACCTGCATGAGTTTAAAAAAAAAAATGTTATTCCGAAGCTCACCACACAATATTTGCATGCTACTCTTACAGTAGCTTGTTTGATGCACCAGCTGGGTTACGTTTTGGTGGTGTGCACAGAAACAAAAAAAACGTATAGCTGACAGTTTATTAAAAACATTTGGCAACTATGGTAACTGTTTAAACAGACTCTCCAAACAAAAGACACTGAGAGATAGTTGTAACCCAAGTTTGTCTTTTTCTCACAGATTTTCAAGCATATTCTTTGTTGAACTAAAGAAAAAATAACAAGTTTTTTGGTGTGCTGTGTTATGGCTATGCAATAGATAATTGTTAACAGTAACCTAATCTAAGTTAGACTCTCACTTAGATTGACAGCTACTTACATATTTGAAATGTTATGTTGTGTAGTTTTTTTCTATGAATCTTTGTTCCAACCTTTTGTATTTATTTTTTAGGATTCGAAAATGTTCTCAATTCCCTGGAAACATGCGGCCCGACACGGCTGGGAGATGGATAAGGACGCATGCCTGTTCAAAAAATGGGCACTCCACACAGGTGAGCAAGTGTGAATACACACCCTAACTCTGCACAGAATAACGCAAACCCTCTTCTTTTGTTTGGATGAACAATCATGAGACTAAATGAGACAAAATGCATTCTGCAGGAAAATACATTGAAGGTCAGGCCTGTGACCCCAAGACATGGAAAGCCAACTTCCGCTGTGCAATGAACTCACTGCCTGACATCGAGGAGGTGAAAGACAAGAGCATCAACAAAGGCCACCAAGCTGTGCGTGTCTTCAGGATGCTGCCTGTGAGCCCCAAATCTAAAGGTGAGAAAACTGACAGGAAGCCAGCAAGCATTTTTATATCATTTCCATTGTGGTGAAGCAAGTGCTGCATGCTGATTTGTTTTTTTACTTTACACATTGAGCTGTTTAAGTAATGAAAATGTCTTTCTTTCATCTACACAGATAAACGAAGCAAGACAGCGCAAACAAAGTCCAGAACGAAGGTAAATACTCCTGATATCTTGTGATTCGTAATAATTGTTGCATAGTAAAAGGTATTTTTACATTAAATATATATATTAAAAAAATAATCAGAGCTAGAAATAAAGCTGCATATGTATTTTTTATCTTATGGGGAAATTATAAATCTCACAAAATGTAATTTCTATTTCAACAGAACGCGATCAAGATGGAGGAAGACTCAATCTGGAGAGAGCCTTCGTCCACTCAGGAGAACAAAGTGGACAGCACAGTGAAAAATGAGCAGACAGGTGAGGAAGAAACATATGGATAGTTGAGGAAGAAACTTTAAACAATATGATTTTCACTGGCATCCATTCAAAACTGTTGAACAAGTATATAGAAGAACACAAATTGTTCCTACTATTATCTGGAGAATAACGTGTACTTAATGCTATTTTTTGCCATTTTTGCAGATTTTTCATTCCTGAATCCATCTGAAGTTCCTGATTGGTCTGTGTCATTTGAAATCGACTCCAGCTTTCCAAACACCTTCTGCCACAGATTTGAAGTTTCACCTGAGCACAGCTCCGGTAAGACAACACCACCAAACGCACTCTTGCTAATAAATGGTTTATGTAATAATGAAAGGTAGTGGAATGCTATTCCAGCGCCATACTCATCCTTCCCTTTTTTTCTCCTTCTCTCCTTGCTGTGATCTTCCAGATTACAACTCAACAGAAGATATTATCAATGTAAGCATGGCACCCACTCATTTTTCATTGACAGGAATACCCATGTTTGTCTTAAGGTGCCTGTTTGGCTTGTGTAATAATTCCCACAACAATAAGATAAGACTGTTATGAATGGGAAAAGTCCAATTGCTCAAAATAGTATAGCCATACTCAGTCCATTGTTGCTCTTTTTATAGATTTGCCAAAAACTGGAGCAAGAATCAAGCTGGCCGACATTCCCTTCAGACAGCATTGGGTTCCTGAGCGATGAAGCATACGCCAGTCCAGGAAGCCAGTGGAGTGAATCCTCCTCAGGTAAATGTTACTAGTTGATGGGTTGGATGCGGGTTAGGGTTAGGGGTTAGGGTCTCAGCGACATCGCACATAGCCAAGAGACAGATTAACAAAAGAGTGTTCAAAACTAATGCAAAACCGTCTAAAATATTCTGACTTTAGGTCTATTTTAAGGGTACAAAACACTACAATTCACACAATGTAACTCAGTAGCCTTTCTGCCTGATGTCTTTGAAGATTCCAGGTCATTCACCATGAAATGATAGGGATTTTATAATATGATGTATATTGTTCTAACCTATGATTTCCTTTGGTTGTTTTACAGCCGACGAGATAGACGAAATCCCAAGCTACACCACATTGGGCTCAACCTGCACAAATCGCACAGACGACCTCTGGTCCCCATTCCTGTAAACGCATTGAGATCTTCAGGATGGGATAGTGCTTTGACACTTTGGACTTTTAAAAAGCTTATCCTATCCACCCCACCTTCTCAGTGAATCACCCATCACCACCATCATGATCCCTCCATCCCAAATCAGAGATCTTTCTCCACCTCCATCAACCTTTTTGTACAGTTATTCAAGTTTTGTGTTGGGAGGAAGTCGCAAGCTGTTCATTTATAATGTTGTTGGCTGGTTCAAGGCATTTCGGCACTCAGTTTTTTGTCAGGAGTTCGTATTTGTGGACATGCGCAGGATCATACTCAGCTATGAATACATACAAGGGTAGCCAATGCTTACCTCTATAATGTAGTGGGATCAATATTTGACTTTGTAAAGTGTCAAATTCTAATAAATAAATAACATCCATTTTCCGTTATGTGCACCTGTACATTTTAGTTTAAGGGATTATAAATCATTTTAACAAACTTCTGGTGAAAGCTCTACTTTAATATATTACAGCCTTAAGTTCAGGAAGGAAAGTTGTACAAAGTTTCTGTAAATAGTTATTTTTGTTTGTGTGTGTTTTTTTCAGAAAATAAAAAATCTAAATGTGAATAAATGTGACTCTTTACTCTTTGTGTGTTTGTGTGTAGACAGTGAGATAAATGATTCTGACTAGATGTTAAAGTCAAAACATTTCCTCCCCTTGCAATTTAGGTCTCTTGGTCTTAATCAGTATAATAAACTATATGATATACAGTATATCCTAAATTAAATCCGAAAACAGTTTTAAAAAGCTCAGATATCTCTTTTCAATACTCCGTTTGTAACAAGTTAAACTGGATTTTATATTTTTTGCTAACCTAAAACAAACCAATACAATCTATTTTAAGTGCAGTTCAATTAAGAACAAGAGTTTTTGTGTATCTCACGAGGTATTTTCACATAAGGAATAGGAACGAGTTACATCAAATGTTTTTCTTTCCCATGGGGATCCCCTATAATTCTACAGATTTTTGAGGAAATAATGTAGTTGTGCAACACTTTGGCTATGCAAGTGGACATTAGTCAGCGTTAAAAATACCACAAATAGCACTAACAACAGAGAAGGGTGTGAGGAGTTAAGCCCAGGTTTTGATACATTTGATAAATATGTCTGTATGTTTGCAGCAGCTGCCAATTGGCCTTCATAACAAACCACTGGGCTGGCAGGAGAGATGACATTCTTTTCATTCATCACATCAATCTTTTCAGGTGTTGCTTATTACTGTAAACTGCGTAAGGCGACTTGAAAAAAACACTTCAAAGGTAAAAATGTGATCATAACAACAAGTGCTAGCTGCTCTCCAAACAAAGAAACAACCTTAAAGTCTGGATTAAGGGTTGTTTATTAAGGAAAACTACATAACATCCTTTACATTTTCAGATTGAAAGTAAAAATTGGCATGGGTTGTAGCCACAGTTGTAGACAGGGTTGCAGCCAGAATTGAAGAATTACTGAGCTTTTGAGACCAAGCCCCCTCAATTCACTCTGAATCTTTGAATATGTAAATGTTTTGACATTTTAAAGCGTCTTCAAGCATTTTCCGGCACATTGTGCATAATGTAAATGCAATCTCTAGACATTTGAAGGTTGCTTCAATATTTCGTAGGCTGAATCTCATCCAGGTTGTTGTGGGTAAACAACTTTATAAATGACTGTAGCCGTATCTACGTTTACAAGGACAGTTAGCAGCCCAACCTGTTTTACACACACAATTAGAAATTATTTGTGGAGGTAAAGGGAGGTGGGCTTTTTACTAAAAGATACATTATTTATCTACATTTTAATTTAAAAATGTGTTTTATTCATCACTCACAGACACGGGAAAAAGTAAAAAGCAGTATCACTTCAGAAATGTATAGTTTATTATGAAATATTTGTACAGCACACAGTACACTTCATTAAAAGATAGAGCCTTTGTGATCAAACCATAACTCCAACATAAAGCATCCTCTTGATTGAAAGTGTTTTTTGAAAAACACATATTTACTGTTAAACTGCGTTGACTCAGCGGCTAACTTTCTGGCTAAATAAAAAGAAAATAATATACTAATCCCATAGAAGTCAGGTTGTTTGTCCTATCACCATTAAGTCCAATCAAAATATCAGGTCAAGTGAACATCGATGGATGAAAAAAAAAGCTGAATTATTTCTTCATTAACCCTTTTTGTAGTTATTTATCTCTGAAAATAAAGATATGTTGACGAGCTTGTGTCCTGGTTAACTGTAGAACGGAAACACTTGAAATAGCGGATGTGAAACTCTTTAAACATTGACCTTTCTTTACTGGATGCCCATCAATTGTTGCGGAAAATATATTATCCTAATTCCCACGAACTGTCCCCATGTAAGTTTCAAGCAGTTCCTTCACCGACGGCCATGTTCTTCTTCCTTCTTCTGCTTCAGATGAAGAGGTTTTCTGTTAGAAAGCAGAACAAAGTGATCATTATTACATTTCTGCATTATTGCAAATATTCCTATTTGTGGAACACATCTTTTATCTTTTCATTGTACTTGACATACGTTTGGTAGCAACTAAAAGCAGCTAAGCAAAAGAAGAATTCCCATTTCTTTCATTTTACAAAACAATCAAACATCTGAAATGCATTTAAACGGTCTGGCAGATTTGGTTGCATCAGTAAATCTGAAAACTAAACAAAAGGAAGAAGAAAGAAAATAAACTCTAAGGAAAGTCACAAGGCAGTAAAAAATAATCAATGGAAAGTGTAGACCTGTGTTCATCAAAACGAAATCAAGACAAAGAAAAGGTGGAGGTTTTAGATTACATTTTGAAAGTAGCAGCACAAAACTTAATGCCAACATGAATTCAAAAGTCAAGTAGTTTAGTTTAACAGTTTACTTAAACTCCTTACATTTGATAGATATACATTTATTAATATGAAGATATATGAAAATGTGTATGTATCCAGGTTTTTGTATAGATTCAATCAATGTTTTTTTCTTTAGTACAAGTTGTATTAATTGTGCAACCACACAAATGCCTAATTTCTTCAGGAAGATTCGGCAAAAATAAAATGTATATATTTTAGTTTTTTAGTTAATGGAAGATAGAAAAGATAAAAAAGAAGATAAATAAAAGTGAGTGGACAAGCTTTACATGTGTGTGTATACCGTGCTACACATGTGTGTAGTAAGTCTGTTGTGATTATACAGTAGTCCGCATGTTTTTTTAAACCTAGCACAACAAGTAAGTACATTTGAGTTTGGTAGATTATTTCTTTGGTATAACAATGCTTCTTGGCAATACATCTTAAACAGTTTGAAAGCCTGTTTATTTCTCTTTTAAATGGTGCCACATTTGTGAGGAACATGCATTAGTGGGATGAGCAGCAGAGCTGAGTATGTGGGTCGCGCCCAAATCACCTCTGCCAATGCTAAACAGCTTTGTATTGCTGTTGACTCTTGCTTGGTGTTGTTTGGTGGATTGGATGATTGAAATCTGATGAAACAAGACATATTGGCAAATTAACAATTTATTAATTTAAGGGCAGTCATGGCAGGACTCCAGGCATCCCTATGAGACCGCTGATTGGCTGCGTGCAGGCCATATCACCCTGTAAACCTTGACTGCAAATCTGTAGAAGACTGCCAACGTTTCCCAAGTGCTGACAGGATGAGGAAACAGTCTTATTGGGGTGCCCTCTTCTTGGGACGCGCACTTCTCGCCCTGTCTCTGACATCCCCCATTATATGGCACTTGGCCTTCAGATTGCAGATGGTAGGGCTCACTCCAGATAATGCCGCAACTTGGTTCCACAGAACAGCAGCTTCAAGTTGCCCTATCGCACGAGCCTTATGCCAATTCTTGGAGCAGACACCAACTGACCACTGTAGCAGGGCCCATACCAGGAGCTCAAAACAAGAGTCAATAACAACGGCAACAAAAAGCTGTTTGGCAATGGCACAGGAGATTCGGCGGGGCGCAACCAACATACTCAGCTCTGCTGCTTCTCCCAGAAATGGATTGTTCCTCACAATTGTGGCACCATTTAAAAGAGAAATAAACAGGCTTTCCCACGGTTTAAGATGTATTGCCAAGAAGCATTGTTACAACAAAGAAATAATCTACCAAACATACATTTCCTTACTTTTTCAAACTAATTGGACCTAATAAACAACGTGGTACTGAATCACCAAGTGGGAACGTTTTTTCATCTGCAAGTTTTTCAAGATACTTTATCTCCTATCTAGTACCTTTTGATTTGCTCAACTGGAAGACATGTCCGTGATGTTTGTGAGGAATAAAAGGTACAAATATGCTGCAGCAGCACATCATTTGTTCATGCAAACCCAGGTCAGGAAGAAGGAAGTAGAAAATGCCTCGAAGTTTCTAAACTGCCACCAAAGGGCTTAAATAGTTGTATCAAGAAGTATGTGACAGTGTCTGAAGCTGAATGATGTAAAAGACAGAGGTGGTGCGTGATGGATGTGTTGGAGTTGTGCCACTCGGCACCTGTAAACCTGTTCACTGAGCCAAACGTCTATCTGATCAACTTACAATATACTTGGGTGGGGTTTTATTTGTTTGTTTGCTTTGCAAGTATAAGTGGGGTTGCAATATTATTTGCATAAGCAGTTTTCATCAACTTTGCTGTTCTTTAACTAATGTATTTATCATGTTTTTCACATCTATACTTTATGTTTTGGAGTAAGCAAAATGTTGAATCACGGTGACATTTTGAATGTAGTGTATTTATACCCCTACTCATTCAGTAAAATCTGAACTCAAATATGTTTATATGAATTCAGATGATCAACGTTTTATCTTGTTGTGATATCTCGTTTTAACAGTGACTTATATAATGTTGTATTATCCTTGTGTGAATCTGTACGGTCCTGTTTTTCACTCTCACGCTATTGCTGCTTTACTGCTGAATTTTCCCACAGGGAGAAATAAAGGTCCATCTTATCTTATTTGATCTTATCTTAAAAATGAAATGATACGAAATAATAATATATATACTTTTCCCATCACCACCTACACTCATCCGTTTTTGTAAATTACATTTAAGCTTGGACAAATCATATTGTCCCACTTTGACATCTGTATCGGCATAATCTATCTCTATCAATTCAGCTAAATATTAAAACACAAGGCTTTTTTAAGGCTGAGATGTTTGGTATCTGTGGACATTTCTGGCATCACCGCTATCATTTTTTAAGTTTGAATAAAAGTTTTTACATTGTGTGCATATTTCAGCTGCTTGAAACGTATCCATGTATTCATGATCCTGCATGTGGACATAAAGTTTTCCTTTTATTAGGTATTATTGTATGGGAGATACATTTCTTTATTGTGTAATTGATCAAAATTACTGGTTTTAATCAACATTGTTTTCAACAATTGTGGTGTAACACACATGTATTGCAGTAGAGAGTATTAAATACTGCAGGGCAATGTTTGGGTTTGACTTAAAATAAGTGTGTGTTTTCTTGGTAATGAAGAAACGTTTCAACCACTGCAACATCGTGGGGCACTGATGCATTTTAACTATGATCAGTTCTTGTTAAGATGAATTAAGTCATGAGAAAAATGTAGAATAAAGATTATCGCCTTATCCTTTCAATCTATCAGTCAAAACACTATAAAGTACCCTGATAGTGTTTCATCTCAGGAAACGGTGTTAGGTGGAGATACCAAACCCACAACTCTTAACTGTCACTCCCCGTTAACAGCATACATGAGATGACAGCTAAATAATAAATTATAAAACCCACAAGACTGTGGAGGAGTCAAAGGGAGGGAAGGGGGAGTGTGTGTGTGTGTGTATTATAGAAAGATATCTCTGGTGCTTTCCATCTGAGTGTAAACATTTCACTTGACAATCGTTATGTTAATTACACTAGACACCGACTCACTTTAAACTGAAAAGCAACAAGACCTTTTTTTTATACTTCAGTTGTGAAATGACAGAAATGCTCGGTTACTTCCCCTGAAGCTGTCACGCGCTCGCACGCACGTGCGCACGCACGCACGCGCGCGCGCACACACACACACACACACACACACACACACACACACACACACACACACACACACACACACACACACACACACACACACACACACACACACACACACACACACACACACACACACACACACACACACACACAGGCAGGCAGGCAGGCAGGCTTGGTATTTCCCTAGGTTTTTTCACTCTCGTGACAATGACTGTTATCGCTCAAATCTAATGCTGTGGTAAATACTGTGCACACCCCCTGTACTTCCATCAGGAAATTCATGATGTTTAACCAAAACTACATAATGTGGTATTGACCAGTTTGTTTCTGAAAAACTGGCTTTAAAAGGGATTCCTGCGAGTTTGTTTGAGCAGTAAAATCCCTGGCTTCAGCTCTACTAGTATTCTTAATGTGCCAAAAGCGTTTCACGCCAGTCACAACGTGTGTGTGTGTGTGTGTGTGTGTGTGTGTGTGTGTGTGTGTGTGTGTGTGTGTGTGTGTGTGTGTGTGTGTGTGTGTGTGTGTGTGTGTGTGTGTGTGTGTGTGTGTTTTAACATGTATTTATGAGCAGATTGTTATTTTGTTATTTAAAAAAAAAAAGTTATTTCACTGAGTTTGTATCTTTACTTTTTCTGTGTTATCTTCAAAGTCTTTCTTGGGTCATGTTCAACATGTTTAAACCAATAGCAATTTTACCTTTTCTTATTTTAACCCTGTCTTCAAGAGGCCTATAGAGGACAATTTGCAACAGCACATACATTTTGAAGAAACTGTAATGCTGAATGATCACACAATCTTTACAAACAAGGAATTTCATTTGTTTTCCATCAAAATATCCAATCTTGTATTTTGTGTAGTGTTCTGAGAGTGATGTGAGTTGCTCAAACCTTTGGAAAACTGTCAGTGTTTGATAGACTGGGATCACCGGAAACTACAACTAGTCCAAAATGGCAAGAATTTGAACTAGCACCACAAAAAGAGAACACATTTCCCCTGTGCTGGCATCACTCCACTGGTTAGCTATTTCTTTTAGAATCGACTTTAAAGTCCTTTTATTAAGCTACAAAGCTTTACATCACCTAGCAGCTTCTTATCTCAGCGACTGCCTTTCTTTTTATGTTCCAACAAGAACCCTTAGATCCTCCAGTGCTCTGCTTTTAGAAATTCCAAGGGTATCACACAAGAGATCTGGGGAGGCAGCGTTCTGTTTTTACGACCCTAAACTATGTAATCCCCGTGGATCAGCAAACTACCTTGAAATGTTTAAAAGCCAATTAAAAATCTATCTTTTTCATATTGCTTTTAATTTGGGTTAACTTTCAATTGTCACTAGCATCATTGTCCATGTTTTACTGTATTTATTTTCTGTTTTGCTTTTATTTTACATTTCAAATTTGTTTTTTAAATGTTTTATTTTAACATATTATCACTGTA